GGGTCTGCCCTAATTTCCTTTCCATACTGGTGACTATGGCTTCCTGAAGGCCAGACCTGTCCCTTGGGGTGATGGCTACGACATTAGGAAACAGTCACTGAGCTCCTGAGCTTACCTGCTGTGTCAAAATCTGTCTCGCTGCTGGCTCTCCTTCGGTTGCTCAGATCCTTCCGGAACCGTGGACGTCTCTGATCCCTTTGTTCCCAGGGTTCTGGCTTTGTTTGGGTCTCTTCTCTACTGTGCGGACTGACATGCATGCCTCTGGGGGAGTCTCAGGATGACCCCCAGCTTACCTCCCTGTACCCACCAGCAAGCTGCCCGTATGATCCAGACCCTGCTTGGCATTCGAACCCCCCAGGATCTGCTCAGCAGGCTGGGCATGCATCTCGTGTCCAGAATGTCCAGCTTTGTCCCACTTCTACCTGAGGACAGCACCTGACGGTAGTTAGGTGCTTAGATAGATTCCCTTCTGGATTTTCAATTTCAGGTTCATCTTCCTCCTCTAAAGTGTCTTTGTTGCTGTTTTTGGAGGTTTCTTTGGTGGTAGGGCTTGGAGCTGGAGCGTAAAGTGGCTTCTGCAAAAAAAAAAAAAAAAAAAAAATCTGATTTTGGAGAATCATCTGCATTTGGCGCTCCAGTGCTGGGCCCTCTGCAGCCTTCGGGGCTCCAGGCTCACAATGGGTGAATAAATGCACTGGACTTCACATCCACTTCCCACAGACTGTGCCTGGGCCAGGGTCCTCTTCCTCTCCTCCTTCCCTGGTGCAATCCCTGGCTCCCCTTGACTTTCCTCCTCTGCAGCAGTGTAGAGGCTTTAAATCTGCAGGGAATTTCAGGGAACTCACCTGGCAGAGCCCTCTGACTCCACAGACCCACAGGAGAGACATGGAACGCATCTCCAGTGGCATCTGTCCCCTGCCCCCTCCACCTGTCCTGCATGGCACAACCACTGTCCGCCTGCCATGGGATCCTCATGTAACTCATTAACACTGTGTTTGTCAGTGCTTACCTCGAGTTCTTGTCCTGCATATGACAGTGCTAGGCTCCAGTCCTCTGGTCTAGAGGGAGCAGGACAGTAAGCAACAGCTTCCTGCAGGCCCCCAGATTGGGGCCGGGCAGGTTAACTGCTTCGAGCTGCTCCATCATGGGGGAAATGCTTGCTTCTTGGGATGCTGTCTTTAGTGGCGAGGGCTCCTTGGGTGCTTGGCTTCTGGGTGACCTGAGCTGAAGATGCGTCCTGCAGACTGCCAGGGATTGCAAGGTGTCCACTACCCCATGCATGTGTCCCCTGAAGTGAAGCCTAGTCCTGGTCAGTCACGCTGCAGGTCCAGGCCACAGCAGATTGGGCTCTGAATGGTGATCCCGCCATTCCCTAGACAGCACTTCTCACCTGCATGCCCACACGGGGAAGTTGCACTTGCCCTGGGCTTTGCAGGGGCCTGTGCAGGGCAGGAGCCCCAGGGCCCAGCCATGCCAAGCCCCTCTCTCTCCCCATATCCAGAGAGGGGCATGCAGATGGGCACTGGTTGTGCAATGCATCCCGTGGTCATCAGCCGGCAGGTGGGGGTGGGGGTTGCAAAGGGCCCTGAGTGGGTGGGGGAGAGGAAGGAGAACAAAGGGTGGAAGCGGGCAGTGAATGGCTCCTGACTTTGTTTACCCCTCTGCCCCTCTCTGGCCGGAGCGGAGTCTCCCTCCCCCTCCCTTGTCCCCCGTGACCTGTCTTGGCGTGGGGAGAGGGTGGGGATAGTGTGGTTCCTTTGTGTCCTCTGTCAGGTGGTCGCTCAAATGGACAGGATCTGGCAGCCACTAGCTGTGCAGTGCAGAAAGGTCCATCTGGTATCCATCCAGGCCACTGAGGGGCCCCGGGGGGCACACAGTGTGTGGCCAGCCTCAGGCTTCTGGAGCTGCAGCTGGAGCCATAGATGAGAGCATCCCGGCAGTAGGCAGAGGCCAGGTCTGCCTGCTCACCTTCTGCCTCAATGCAGAGCCCAAAATGCCCCCGGGAAGCCCTGAGCATCCTGCTGGGCTGCACCTAGGAGCCCGCGGAGGCCTCTGCAGACAGCTGGTTTGCAGGCGTTTCTGGGCAACCCCCGGGCCATGAGTCCCTCCATCCTTTTTCCTCTGCTGCTGGGGTCAGGGTGGGCAAGAGATCCAGAGTCGCCACCCACTCTGGGCACAGAGAAATTCATGGGCACTGTTCTGTAGCCCTGGGGGGACACATGGGGCATGGTTAGGGGTTGCCTGGCATTGCTGTGGGCACTGTCTGCCTCTGTCCAAGCTGGCATGGCCCAGCTGGAAGCCAGAAAGACAGCCGAGGATGATGCCCCAGGGGAGCTGGTGATTTGGTCTGACACATGTCAGGTATCTGGCCTTCTGCCTGAGTCTCCACAGGGAAGAGCTGCTGCTGTTCTGAGAGGGTGACAGTGCGCTCCCTGTGTGGAGGACAGCCGCTAATGAGGCCCCCGAGGGGCTCCCCACTGGGTGGCCCAGGTAGGAGCAGAGGGTACATGGCACTGCCCGTGGGGCCCGCAGAGGGGCTGCCTCTGTCCCCACCCCAGCCACCTCATGGTCTCTCTGAGGTCGGTCCTGCAAGTCGCCTTCTGCTCCTCTTATCACGTTAACCCATCGCATCACATGTTCTGGGACATCCTGTCTGTCTTTGAAACATTTACCTTACTTACCATTATTTTGAAATCATCCTCTGGTGTATTCATCCTTTCCGTCCTTTTTTCTTCTTTTGTGGTACTGGAGACTGAACCTAGGGCTTTTGCACTGGGCTATGTTCTCAGCCCTTCTTTATGTTTTGAGACAGAATTTTGAACTTGCCATCCTCCTGCCTCAGCCTCCCAGGTGTACCCCACTGTGCCTGGTTCATATTCACCCTCACTTGGAACCAGGTGTCCTCCCAGGAGGGCTCTGACCTGTGCCTGGCACAGGTCTCAGGGAAAACTTCTCCCCCAAGCATCACAGACTTTTTTTTTGGTCTTTTTCGTTTTTATCGGTACCAGGGATCGAACTCACGACTGCCTGCTTGCAAGGCAGGTGCTTATGCCGCTGAGCTAAATCCCCAGCCCCGCATCACAGACTTTTGCTTTTGAAGCAGGCTTCTGTGACGAACCAAACTGTGTCCCCTCTTAAATTCACATGTGAAGACCTTGATCCCAGTATCTCGCCTTCTTTTGAGATAGAGCCTTACTCAAGGTAATTAGGCTAAAATGAGACCTGCAGGGAGGGCTCTAACTGCACGGGAATGCGGTCTTTACAAGAGATTAGAGCACAGACACGCAGAGCAATGATCTGAAGTCACAGGAAGGAGAGGCTTTAGAAGCAACCAGCCCTGCGGCCACCTTGACCTTGGACTTCCAGCCTCTGGAGGCAGGAGAAGCCACACAGGTGGCAGGGCCCAGGACTCTAACTGTGGGCATCCTGAGAGTTAGAGAAAAGATGAGGGGGTCCGGAAGAGCCACTGTCTGGCATCCAGCCTCATGGGAGGCCCAGTGGGTCACGCAAGCTCTGGGAGTGGCCGCCCCTCCCCAGCCCTGTTGAGTCCGCCACCCCTCAGGACCTCTCTGCCCAGTGTTCTCAAGGTCCAACTAATCACAGTGCAGGCCGCCCACAGGATCGGTCATGGGGGGAATGTGGACCAAAACAACAAACCTGGCTGCTGAGGCCCACACTGGAATCACAGCTTCTCAGGAGTCTGAGGCAGAAGGACCAGGAGTTCAAGTCCTGCTTGGGCGTCTTAGTGAGACCCTGTCTCAAAGCTCAAGCATGAAAAGAGCTGGGAGGTGGTTCAGTGGTGGAGCACTTGGCTAGCATGGGTGACTCCTGGGTTTGATTTCCCAGGACTGCAGAAAACCCAAAAAGAAAACCAAGTAACCAGAGTGAGATGCCACTCCATACCTACCCGGACAGCTAGAATTCTTTAGAGGTAGGAAATAGCAAGCTTTGGCAAGGAGGTGGAGAAATTGGACCCTCATGTGTCGCTGGCAGCTGCCTTAAATGGTGCAGTAGCTGTGGATGACAGTGGGATGGTTTCTGAACCAGCAGCTCCACTCCTGTGGATGCTTCCAAATGGGTGGGGAGTGGGGCTTAAACACGTGTTCTTACCCCAGTGTTCATAGCAGCACAGCATGGAAGCAGAAAGGTGGGCATAACCCAGGATTCCATCCCTGGCTGAGTGGATAAATCTCATGTGGTGTAAACACGCAATGGAATATCATTTAGCCCCGAAAAGGGTGGAGTGCTGACACCTCAAGCACTGTGGGCAGGATTGGGCTCCTTACAGCTGTGGCCTGAGGGTCTCGGCTCTCTCTTTGCTGGCTGGTCGCTGCCCTCAGTCTTCTGGGAAGGCGGAAACACAGCAACCGGCTTTGGCAGAGTGAGACAGTGAGAAAGAGTGTGGACAAGAAGCCAGAGTCTTCCTGTGACCCGCTTTTGGGGGTGACGTCCTGTCCTTCTGACACATTCTGTTTGCTAGGAGCAGGGCACGAGTCACAGCCCAGTAGGCAGGGCTCACTGGGGGCCACGTCAGGATGAGGCTTCCAGGAGACATCACCAGAGCTGGGAGGGAAGCAGCTCGGTTCTCTCCGCTCTGCCAAGGGTCACAGCACCCCCGGGCTCAGGGCTGGGAAGCCCCTTCCCATCGGCTCCACTTCCGGAGGTGGCCGGTGTTTCTCAGGCGGCTTGGGAGTCATTGTCCAGGCCGACCATCCTGGCTCTCGGGAAGAGAGGGTGGCAAGAGCCCCACCTGGGGGCCCGAGAAGAGGTCGCTCCGTGTCTCCCTCCTCCTTGCCCCTCCTCTCCTGCAGCCTCTCGGGGCAGCCGAGCAGGGTCTTCCTCCACCAGGGCCGGTGGTGCACACGTGTGGGTCCTGCACTCCGGGAGGCTGAGGGAGAAGGAAGAAGCTCGAGCCCGGCCTGAGCAACTTGGCAACTCAGTCAGGAAGAAAGCTGAAAATAATTTAAAACGGTTTTTTTTAATTCAAGAAGGCTGGGAGGCTGGGGATTTAGCTCAGTGGCGTAAGCGCCTGCCTTGCAAGCAGGCAGTTGTGAGTTCGATCTCCAGGACCAATTAAAAAAAAAATTCAAGAAGGCTGGGACATGGCTTGGTGTGAGGGTTCAGTCTCTGCCCTTGCTGGGCCACCCCGATTCATACTTCCTGCTCCTCCTCCCCTTGACCACACATGCTGGGATCTGAGGTGATAACTCCTAACTTTCCGTCTCTTCTCCCAGAGCTCCAGATCCATGTGCCTGATGGTCAAACTGAGATTTCAGACCAACACTGCTCACACGGCTCCAGGTTTCTGCCCCAGGATCTTTGCACTGGCTGCTCCTGCTCCTCTTGCGTTTCCATCCAGGTGAGTGAGACCTTCTCTGCCCACTTCTCTGTCCTCAGTGCTGCTCCCCCCACTTCCTGTCGCTTCTGTTTTTGCAGCCATGAGACAGCCTCTAGTTACGGTGCTTGTTTATCTTTTCTCTTCCACACTGAAATATAAGCTTCCTGATCGTCACCTTGCTTGGAGTCTTGGTGCATTCTGGGCCCTAGGACAAGTCCTGGACCACAGCAGGACCTCTGTGTCACCCAGAGGCAACTGTGACCCTGCTCATCACTCAAGGGAGTTAAAAACCATAAAAAGAGGCAAGAATCTTAGTCGTGGAGTTGACTGTCCTCGCTCCGCTACCCCCTGGATGCTGAGTGCTTTCTCCACTGATGTTCTATTGATTGATTAATTTAGTATTAGGAATTAAACTGAGCTACTATCTCAGTCCTATTTTATTTTATTTTATTATGAGACATTCTCACTAAATTGCTAAGTTCCCAGACTAGGTTCAAACGTGCAATCCTCCTGCCTCAGCCTCCCTGAGTGCTGGGATTACACGTGTTAACCACCACAGTGGGCCTCCACTAATATTCCCTGAAGACATGAAGACAGGTCAGTGGGTTCAGAATGCCAGGCAGGGGATCTGAGGTCCTCAGCAAGGGTCAAGGAGATACTAATCCGAAGACTCTGAGCTAGTCCAAGAGACACACTCCCCAGAGCGCATGTGCTGCCACCTGGAAGTCGGGCGTCGCCCTAGCTGTGTCCCGTCTGGTGCAGGCAGTCCATCTCTAGGAACCTGCAGTCTCAGCAGACTTGGGGTCTGGGAGTGCGATGTCTCTGTGACTCCAGGCCCCCCTCCTCCCATCTGGTCCCCCACTCCTTAGGCTAAAAGGCAGCGGGCCCAGGAGGGGTCAGGTCGCTTTTGCCTTAGGGGTGAGCACTTCCAGGGTTGTTCCTGAATGCACCGGATGCCCGGGATCCTAGTTTCCCAGCTTTTCAAACAGGCCTGGAAGCCGATGTTAAATTTGCTCCGGTGGTTCAGGCGGAGCTTGGTGCAGTGACACACGGGCGGGCGGCAGGGGGTGCTGACACCAGCCCTCCCTGAGACCCTGCTTAGAAATCGGGGCGGGAGCCCGGGGCAGACTTTTGGCTTTGCAGAGTGGCGGGGCACTGTCAACCGAGGCCTGAGGGAAGAACCCAGGGCCCTTTGGTTGATGCGGGAGAGGTTGGGGCTGGGGTCCCTCTTGCCTTCCTGCTCCTCTCCTGGGGTCCAGGCTGGCAAAGCACCTTTAGAGCCCAGGCCTTCGAGTGCCCTTGATCTGGCAGAGACCAAGGAGGTGGTGTCCTTGCCTGAGGTGCGGTTCACCACCTGGTAGGCACAGGAAGGGACCAGACTGCGTGGCAGCCCCTGTCACCTGGGGAGATGTGTGTGGCCAGGGGAGGCGGCAGCCCCTCAAATACCCACCCCGGTTTCCAGCCTAGCCCAAGGGGGAGGGGAATGCCAGGCCCCTTCCTCTGTGCACGGATTTTTACGTTCACCACTTGAGGGGAAAATGCAATTTGTAATAAATCTGTGTTACTGTCGAAGTTTAACTGCTCTAGTGGCTATAAAAATTAATTCCTATCCTATACAGTGTTATCCAGCTTTTAAAATGAATTGGCTTGTGGTTGGTCTGGGGTTTGGGCCATTATTAGTAATTAGTGTAATCAAATAGTGGGATCCACAAGGCTCCCCTTTCCAGCACAGCCTCCCCACCACCACGCTGTCCCTTGTGTCTTGTGGGCTCCTGGATTCTATCAAGTGCTTGGCACCTTTACGTAGAGGCCAGGAACTGCCTGGCCTTCCACAGCTGGACGGATGTCTTCTTTCTGATCCCAAATGCATTGAGGACATTATTGTGTTTGCTGTGATTTCTTTCTCCTTTGATGTCCTGTGTGTTGAAACTAACACGGTAACTTCCCCTTCACGAGTGGGTGAGAGCTCTGACATCCATTTGGGAGCTCCAGCAGGGTTCTGGGGGGCAGGCCAGGGCCTTGGGCATCATCTACATGTAAGCAGCACAGTACCCTCCGGGGCAGCAGGTCAGCGGGGACCCAGTGGTTGTTCCATAGTGGGAACTCGGGTGGTCTGGAAGCTCCGGGAGGCAAATTCACATCTTTGCTCTCGGGAACTGTTTCCTGACGTTTAGCGTTTGCTTTCATTAGAAACAGAATCACCCCCTACACACACACACACACACACACACACACACACACACACACACACACGGGTAACATGCACAGATCTTTACTACACTAACCCACTGCAGACAGCCCAAAGCATTCTTCACATTCACTGAGACTTAGAAATTCTGGGGGTTCTGAAACCAGAAACTATTCTTTCTATATTGCATTAATAAAGAAGCATTATTATATCTATTTTTGAAAACTATTTGTTTGTTTGTTTTTGGTAACTGAGATTGAACTCACAACTTCACGCTTGCCAGGCAGGCGCTGTGTCCTGAGCTAAACTCCTGGCTGAAACTATTTTAAGATGGGCTTTGCACTCAACTGGTTTCCTTTGTCATCTGCATATTTCATTTCATGCCTTGAAAAATAATGGGCTTCATGAGGTGCCTTTATCTGCCCGAGAGGAGGAGAGAACCAGGGCTAGGATGCTTTAGTGGAGACGAGAAGGAGTGTGCGCGTGTGTGTCTGTGGAATCCCACTCTCCTACTGCGAGGCGGTGTGGCCCGAGCCCTGATTCCTCATTTGGAGCAGGGAATCACAGCCGCCATGTATTGTAGCAATATTGGGGTATCAGGGTATTGGGGCAGTATGGGGTACTGGGGCGGTATTTGGGTATTGGGGCTGATTAAAATAACAGGGGAAGCCGGCAGCCAGAACCAGGTGCCACATCTGTTCTTCACGTGGGTTCCCTTATTAGCCTCCTGCAGCTACAGGTTTGAATCTTAAAATCACTCCCATCCGACAGATTGAGGAAACTGAGGTTTAAGGAAATGCTGAAGGTCACACAGAGATTGAAGACAGAGAGAGAGACTGAGGTTCTAGTGATTGGGCCACCATGCAAGAAATGCTAAGCTGTCTCCCCGAAGGCCAACCCCCAGCCCTCACTGCCCCACCAGTGGGAGCTGTAGTCTGGGTCAGATGGTCTGCACGCCTGTGTGATTTCTGGGTTCTGGAGCCCTCACCATGTTCCCTGTTGCCGGGGACAGTGACAGGAAGGTGATGGATGGCTTCCCTGAAGCATAGATTTGATCTCCTGCCCTGTGTCTGCCTCTGTGCCAGGCTTGGTGCCGTCCTGGGGGAGTTGTAGCCAGCGGGAAAGGGTTGGGAAGATACCGTCTTGCTCAATCCCTGAGCAGGGGACAGAGTGGTCGGTGCCACCTGAGAGCTGTGACCCATGAGTGCTGGGAGATCGTGACAAGGACAATGAAGATGGACGGGTGGAACTGGCAGATCCAGCCACAGAATCCAGACCCACTGGCAGAGGCAATGCAAATGAATCTGAATCCAGATTAATGTATTAATAGCACTATGTCTCTTTATGTGGTCTTTATGGGTTCCCCAAATTTGGGTGGGCATGTTTGAGATGGCTTAGCTTACAGTAGATACCTTGTGTGTGAGAATACAGTATGTCACATTCTGATCGTTTGGATTTGCCCAGATTTATTTGGGGGCTCTGCATAGGACCTATCTTACTGAGGGTTCCATGAGCATTTGTGAACACATATTCTGCAATGGAGTTGGTGTTGCATAAATATCAGTTGGGGCAGGCTGTTCAATGTTCAGAGTTTTTACTGGTTTTGTTTACTTACTATATCAGTTACTAAAAAGGCAGCTGCTATATAAAAATTTTCATTTATGATTTTTAGATTTGTCTACCTTGCCCTTAAATTTTGTCAAGTTTTGCTTTACGTATTTTGAAACTTTGTCATTCAGCACATATACATTTAAGATGCTTATGTCCTTCAGGTGAATTGATCTTACATCATTAGATGATGGCTTTATCTGTGGCAATATGGTTTGTCTGGTGTCTATTTGGCGAATACTAATGTAACTGCAGGGTTGTTTTTGTGCTGTTTACCTGGTGTGACTTTTCCTGTACTTGGATATGGAGCCTATTGTGTCCTTAGATTTAAGTCTACCTCTTGAATCAGGACACAGGTGAGTATTGCTAGTTTATCCAGCTGGACTGTTGCTTTTCTTTCTTTCTTTCTTTTAATTTATTTTTGTCTTTTTGAGACAGGCCCTCACTATGCAGCTCTGTCCAGTCTTAAGCTCACTTTGTACCCCAGGCTGGTCTCAAAATTGCAACAATTCTCCTGCCTCAGTCTTCCGAGTGCCAGAATTACAGGCAGGCAGCACCACACCTCGAGACAGGGTCTCATTATTGAGCTTAGGCTGCTCTTAAATTCGAAATCCTTCTTTCTCAGCCTTCTGAGTGTTGGGATCACAAGTGTACATCAGCATGCCTGGTATTCGGCTGCTTTATAATGGAATATTTAGTCTTCCCTGTTAAGTGTGATTATTTCTATAGTTGGCTTTAAATCTTTCTTTTGCTAATTTGTTCTTTTTTCCTTCTGCTTTTGCTTCCTGGTTTCTCTTTCTGTGATTTCTTTCAAGCCTATGATACATATTTTTTTTAATTAAAATTTTTTCAATACTGGGGATTGAACTCAGTACCTTTGCACTGAGTTACATCCTAACCCTTTTTAATTTTTTATTTTGAGGCAGAGTTTCACTAAGTCACTAACTAGTCCAGGCTGGGCTTGAATTTTCAATTCTCCAGCCTCAGTTTCCCAGAGCGCTGGCATTACAGGTATGTGCTACCACGTCCACTTCCATCATATATATGGGGTGCCTGTGTGTGTGTGTGTGTGTGTGTGTGCGCGCGCGCACGTGTGTGTCCCATTTTAACTCCTCTGTTGGTGTTTTAGCTGGTCCTGTTTGCATTTTCTAATGGAGGATAATTTAGGGATAATAAGATGTGATATTATAATATATTTGGGTTTATCCCTGGCTCCTGGCCTGAG